CTTAGTAATATATATTTTATATTGCTATTCACCATAATTTTTAGGTATAAATTAAGGAAGAGGATTGTCGGAGTACGAACATAAAGTCAATATGCCTTGAAAAATATGTAATTAAAATTAAATATCATGTTTGCTAATCGATTTATTTTAAAATTCTTGATGACATTTATGTATATTGATATATTTTGTATGACTTCATTCTTAATTTCAATGTTTAATATTTGAAAGTTCATATATGAAATCTTGGATGTTTTGGTGTAATATAAATCGTGTAATACAAGGATTATTAGTTCAATATTGTTTATTAATAGCTCATTCAAAACAACTTATTTTTTATTTTATCCAAAAAAATATTATCGAACATAAGTAGATTATATTAATGTTATACAAAACTTATAATATACATTGGATATTATAAAAGTAAAAGTAAAATTTATAAGCTATGGACTATACTAGATAGTATCAAAATATAAGTTGATGAATTTTCATTAATTCACCTCATTATTTGGAATCTTTAATAAGCAAGAAAGTACAGAGGAAGAGAAACTTATTTAAATTTGGGGTAAATTACACCAGTCGTCCGTTGTGCATATATCAGAAAACATGTTTAATCCTTATTTTTAAAAATTAATTCAAATTGTCTCTTATATCATTAAAAGGTACATGTTTCGTCCCTCCTATACATAAAATAATTATCTTACCATTTTCTTTTTCTTTTTCATTTATTTTTCATTTATTTATAATTTAATTATTATTTTTTTAATTATAACTTTTAGAAAATAAATTTTCCCTTTAACCCCTTTGAACATTAACCACCTCCTAACACCAGTCACTTCCGACCACTAGACACCTTCCACCACCTGTCACCTCCGGCCACAAGCCAACTCTGGTAAACACTACCATTCATCGCGAAAAAAAAAAACTAGAATTAAACCCTAAAATAAACCCGAATCCATACGCTTGATCTACAAATCAGTTAAACGAAGAAGGGATGATGAGAGGATATAAGGAAGATTGTGGTCAGACACAAACTCTTCAACCCTTTATCCTACCACTGCCATGATCTACAAATCAGTTAAACAAAAAAATCCCCACCCATCTTTACGCCACTTTCTTTCTCCCCGGTTCTCATCTACTTCGCAGAACTTCATCACTAAAGCAAATCACCATCGCTACCTTATACCACTTGCTACCATCTTCGTTCACCGTTAAATCACCTCTGTTGATGTTTAAAATGTCACCAGTGCACCTGACTTATTCCTCCGACACCACCACCAATCACTGCCAACGCCTCGATCATAAACCCTCAATCTGAAACTCCACCGACGACTTCTGCTATGTGTGTAACTGGCGTATTGGAGCCTTCAGCATTGACATTCAACCTCTCCTTTCCAGAGTAGCGAGGGCCACTAATGGTGCCATTTTTCTCACAGAAATCAATCAAATATCAAAATACTTAACATTGCATTCAAGAATCGATGACAGCTATGATGCAGTCTCATCAATTTCTCCTCCCAAATTCCTTCATTTTTATCTAATTTCTCCAAAGAACTCCTTTCCTTTGAAAACATGTTGTCCCTATGTACATCTGAATGGATTTCACTCCAGTAAGCCTATAATCACATGTGTAAAGAGGAGCAATAAAGGGCTCTTCGGAACCTAACGATTTAGAAAAACCCCAATTCAGCTTGTCCGTTTTGCGACATCAAACCTCCATTACGTCTTACTAGAGCCATTGAATTCCGTGATGAAGGAATTTGGAGGCGTGGCAGTCAACGTTGGTTCAAGCGGCTCTTAGAAGGGATTCAGGTCGGATGGATTCAACGACGGTGGTGGGAGAAAAAGGAGGGTTAACCAGAATTCAGAATTTAGGCTTTGGGGATTTGTTTCCGATCAATAATAATGAATTGGTGGATAGGTTGGGGAAAATGAGGGAGAGGCTTATTTTTATTTTAATTCAAAATCACAATAAAAACATTAAATTAATTAAAAAAATAAAAGTAGAAGGGAATTATGGTCTTTTAAAATTTAGGACACATTAAATTCGCAACAAAATGGTTTTTTAGGGATGAAGCGTGTAAAGTTAAATCAAACGAGGGACAGTTCGAGTTAATTTTTTGAAAATAAGGACTAAACATGCTTTCTGGCACATGCATGAGGGATGAATGATGTAATTTACCTTTAAATTTGTATTATCGTTTGCCAAGTAGGGATATAATCGAACTGAGTCGAGTTGAGTACTTTCAAATTCGAAACTTGACTCGATTAAAAAACTGAGGCTCGAAGCTATAAAAATATTAAATTGAAGTAGAAATATGACTAAGCATGTGAGTTCGAATCGACTTGGTTCGATTATGTAAAATATGAATAAAATAAAGGATAAAAGAACGAATATAACTAAGTTCATGAGTTTCGCTAACTGAGTATTTCAATAATCAAGCTTGACTTGAATTGAACCGATTCGATTTCGATTATTTTTCATATCGGTCTTAAGACGAGTTGACTCGACTCTTTTACATCCTTATTGCCAATGTTACATCGATTCAAGAATTCTTGGACATAATTGTGAGGAACAAACTAAGATAGAGTCATATAGACAAAGAACAAGTGATTGTGAGTTGTTATCAATTGTATAGTTGATTGTGATTTTCTTGGCACTACCCGACCCGTTGTGTGAATGCTAAAAAAAAGTTGATTATCTAGATTTGCCTCCTATAGTATTTCCATTCATGTTTTAATAACATTTAGAGCTTATTTTATATATTTGAAATAAGATAAGAAAAGTTAATGGATAACAAACAAGAATAAATTAACCTTTTATGAATGTAATTTGTGAAATTAATTCCAAACTTAAGAAACTTCAACACATTAGAACTAAAAAAAACATACATTAATCTGATCTTACACAACTTTAGAAAAACATAGAGGATAACAAAACTCATTCCAAAATGGATTTTTTTTTTTTTTTTTTTTTTTTTTTTTTTTTTTTTTTTTTTTTTCGGATCAGTTTTCCGGGGTTTATATTTATTCAACAACTAATTATTTACAAGAAAAGATTATAAAATAATTAGTTGGGTAATGAATATAAACTCCGAAGAATCGATGTGAAAAAAAAAAAACAAACTCAAGATCCATTCCTCGGAGCTACCTCCGCGGAATCTACTGTGAGGTAGCTCCGCGGAATGGATCTTGAGTTTTTTTTTTTTTTTATTTTTTTTTATTTTTTACGTTGATTTATTTACAATTTTGCCATTCCACGTAGCTATAGTAGATTCCGCGGAGCTCCACGGAATGCGTGTCTATATCTGGAAATGTTCATTTTAATGTGTAAATTTTGAAATTACCCCCTATTTTTTTTTAGCTATTGGGCGGTATTTTTCCTAAAAAGAAACCTCCTTTTGCTCTTTCTTTTCTCCTTCTGTCCTTATTCTCACGTTCTTTTTTTTTTTTGTTTAAAGTAGTTGTTTAAGAGGAAAAAAAAACGAGTTGTTGCATGGTCGCCGTCGTCGGAGTTAGAATCGGCCACTTGCACCGCCCGTTTTCACTTTCTAATTAAATCGTTAATGGATAAGGTATAAAATAAACCTCGATTCTGTTTCGTTATGGCTCTACCACTGGTGTTTAAGTCCCTCGTATTGTATTATTTTACCAATGGTGTTTAAGTCCCTCGTATTGTATTATTTTACCAAGATACCTAACAAAATATATATCTAGTTATCATAATACAAACTTGATATTAACTTTTTATATTTTTGTGTAGTTCTACACAAAATTATTGAACCGCAAAAGGGAAGTTCTTTTTATGTAGTTTGACAATTTGACTAATCGACTCCTCGAACCACAGGCCGAATGTTACACCACGTGCCGTGTTTAGTCCCTCATATTGTATTCTTTTACCAAGATACCTAATAAAATATATATTTAGTTATCATAATACAAACTTAATGGAGTATTAACTTTGTATATAGGATTGCTATATATTTAGTTATCATAATACAAACTTAATATTAACTTTGTATACAGGATTGCTATATAGTTAATTTAGTTATGTTTTCTTTTAAATACAAGATTGAAATTATTTTATTATTCTCAAAAGTTAAATATACAAAGCTTTAATGAAACTTGCTATATAGGATTTCTAAAAGACCAAAGGCTTAGTCAATGACTTCCAGCCCAATTGGGAAGATACATGGGTTTTATACAATGTTGGAAGTTAGACGCCTATAAGCCTTTGTAAAGTTGATAAAAGTGTTTTATCTCCTCATGTATGTAGGGAATTTCTTTTTGGAATCCCTATGCCGTCGTCTCTGTCCTATTGGATGATCGGATCTCGGGGTCTTCCTTTAAATAATAGGAAGAGGCTTCCGTTAAGACATACTGTCATCCCAAAAAAAAAGATCGAAGGTTTAAAACAAATGGTCAAAGAAATTTATGATCAATGAAAATCAGTAAAGCAAAGCAAGAATCTTCTTTCTTTCTTTTCTGTCCTCAAATATAATATAACCCATATCAGCGAAATTCAATAACTCAATCAGAACTGGATTAAAAAAAGAAATGATTAGAGCAAAATTGATAACGAGCGATAATCGAAGGTTTCAAATGTAATTTTAGTTAATTTTCTTGATACGTACGGTATTCCTGCGGGGATTTCAGATTTTTGATATTGACATAACTCATCATCACATCATTAATTCACGACATTATAGTTGGATAATTCCAGATTTTTAAATTGAAATAACCCAATCAAATCTCAAGTTTAGGGTATTCTATCTTGATATGTATTATTTCTTGTATTCTATTTAGATACTTCCGGATTTTTAAACTGAAATAACTAAATCACAATCTACATTCAGTCTTGATAAGTATTATTGCATTTATTAAGAAAAAGTGAAACGTATCTGCATGGAGATAACTTGACTTTTTTTTTATCTATAAATATTCGAGAGTAAAAAAGCAGGTTAAACGTAACTCACCGTTCACCACCTTAATTTGAATCCAACATGCGTATTCTCACTGCCGTTCTCCTCCTCTTCTTCTTCATCTTCATCTTCGCTTTACCATCCATCGCCGATATCAATTCCGTCAAGATCCTATCCGATAATCGAGATTTGATCCTCTTCTCAAAGTTTGAGTACTCACATACTGGCTACGTTTCTGTTGCAGTCTCCTCCGCCGGAATCTCCTCCAATTCGGTCACCTCCAACGCATCACAACCAGCAGATCCTTCACGTGTTGGTTTCTTCCTCCTCTCTCAAGAACTGTCAGATCGCTACCACCTCCAACTCAAATTCAGACCAAACCCTGATTTATGCGCCTTAGATATCAAGAACATCACAGTCCTCTTTACATTCCGAGATCTCTCACCTCCTCCTCGCTCATCCTTTAACATGTCGTACCATGTCACATATCCCGATAACTACTTACTCTTCTTCGCCAATTGCAACAACCAATCTCTCGTGACCATGAACGTCCGCACAGAACTCTACAACCTTCTAGAAGACGGCACTACCACTACCAAAGATTACTTATCAGCCCGGGAACCGCATCCATTTCATTACTTCAGATTCTTCCTCATATATCTATGTTTTCTAGGGTTTTGGACCAAAATATGCTTCAAGAACCAACAACAACGTTTTCAGATGATCCATTTGCTAATGTATGTGTTGCTTTTTATAACCGTCCTTCACTTTATCTTTGCGGTGGCGGATCAACATGATATAAAGGTTACAGGCACTCACCATGGGTGGCATGTTGTGTTTTACATATTTCAGTTTATGAGGAATGTGCTTTTGTTCACCATAATCGTGTTGATCGGTGTCGGATGGTGTTTCTGGAAGTGGGTGTTGCCACTACGGGATATATGGTTTTTGACGCTTGTGATCCTACTTCGGGTTGTGGCTAATGTAAGTTATATAGTGGCAGAGGAATCGGGCCTTTATTATGAACATCGGGTGGATTTGGACGACGTTATTTCAGTTATAGATATCACGTGTTGCATCGTTATTTGTTTCTACACTGCTTTGGTGTGTTGCGAGTTCAAATTGGCGAAGGATGCATCAACCTTTCTGAGGCCTTTTAGCTCGCTCAAGGAGACTTCCGTTAGGCCGGATGTGTTCCCTGTCTTGGTTTTAGTATACCTTATGTTTATGGCATCAGAGTCTCTTGAAATGACTATTGTGGCAAAGGAAAGCAACAGTTTTGTGTTCTCTATGGTGATGTTTTACATGTACAGGCCATCTGTTGTGGAGGATGAGGGAGAAAACTGTAAGAAACTTCTCGTCTAGGATAAGTAGCCAGCTTTAGTTTTCCTGGAACAATTCGATGTGTTTAATTTACACTTTTTGCTTTTTAGATTTAGGTTTGTTCTGTTCTTGACATATAGTATATGACTGGAAGGTTGAAGATTTGGTTGAATTTTAGAAATTTTAATTAGTCATTAAATCGACCCCTCCCCTTTTTTCATTATTTACTATTATTTTATTAATTTTGAAATTAATTCCAAATCATTCTAGTATATCACCCCCTTAATCGGTTTGGACATATGAGCCACTCTTTCAAAACAATGCCGTTTCCTCTTCGATTAGACCCGCTTCTTCATTTTCCAATTTAGGACACTCGTTTTTATAGTTACCAAACTCACAACATTTGTAACATCTAACGTGACTTTTATCTTGGACACGTTCATTATCATCTCGACTTCTCTTGGACCCTCGACCTCTTCCCCGGCCACGTCCAAAGTCATCCCGATTTGTACGTCCATTGCCACAATGCTTACATACATGTGATTTTTCCTCAGTAGCCAACAATAACATGTGTCCTCCACTTTCTCTGTTCCTCTTATACGCTACTCATATGCCTTCAATCTACCAACCGCTTCATCGAATAACATCAAATCCAACTCGAAACATTGCTCTATTGAAGCCACAATTTGAAAAAACGACTTAGGCATTGAATCAAGTAACCTTTTTACCAAATCACCTTCTTCAAGCTCATATCCAAGACTCCTTGCTTTTGATGCTAAACCGGATAATTTTGTCACAAAATCATCAACCGTGTCACCCTCCTTCATGCACAAACTTTCAAGCTCCTTTTTTAAGGTTGCAAGTCGAGTCGTTCTCACCCGATCCACTCCCAAATACCGTGTTTCCAGCCCATCTCACACTTTCTTTGGTTCGGTGTAACTCGCCATTTGCAACACCATGTCTTCGGGTATCGCTTGAAACAAAAAGCAAGAGCTTGTTTTGACTTTTTTTGATCCGATGTTTCACCTGCCTTTGGTTTGACCGTCTCCCATATGCCGTGTGCATCCATAATCGACTTGATTTTGACCGCCCACACCGGATAATTTGTTGGAGTCAAAATCGGAACTTGATATGTCATTAAACCTCCTTCTTTAACCAATGACATCTTTTTCTCCTTAACCCCGACTTCTTTAATCAAGCTTGTTCTGAGAGCACTCTTCCACCGGATAACAAGACAAGGTCACGACCACTTTACCGTCTTCCATCACCCGCAAAACGAACCAAATCAAAGCCACCCGCTTTAACGTCTTCCCGTTCGTTTACTCCGCACCTCCGGTTAGTCTCTCAGAAGCCCGATAAGAATCCGGGGTTGCTTTGTAATAAACCTCAAATCACACCCCCTTCAACGAAACCGCTCTAAACCTCTCTCATACCAAGTGTTAGATTAATTGGGTTGAAACTTGTGTAAATAACAAGCAAAAAATAAACCCTTATACACCAAGTAAAAAGGATACCTGAGAATGGAAGAATTGAAACAACTATATTACTTGAACAAGAATAAACTAGAAAAGGTTATGCATAAAAAAAATACCACACCATTGATCCTATTTATACTTAGACAAATATGTATCCTAATTGAATTCTAAAACTATGCAGGAGATAAAATAAAAAACCTTAAATATAGCTACTTTCCTAAAATGTCCTTTATTTAAACTAAACAAAATAAACTTCTAAAATAAAACCAATTAATCCAACATTATGCAGTATGATGGCTCTGCCCCTTTCTTTCTAAAAACCTTAGAAGTTGCATATCAGCCAATAAGCCCTTAGAGTTTCTTGCACTGCACTGACTCATTCTTCCTGTTTCGTCTCCGTCTCGTTCATCCGTGGATTTCTTCGCTCCAAGTAAGTAAATTAGGGTTTTCTAATATTGATTAATTAATATTGCTTTGGAGATGGTGACGGTGGTGTTTTTTTGGTGACATATGCGCACTTGCATACCACTCCCCGTTCTTCATTTTCTGTGATTCTCAATTTTGTTTGAAATTTGAGATCGAGTTTTTTCATTCTACTGAAAGCAACATACCGATTAGCGAAGCTAAACAACTGAGTTGCAGAGATATACCATATTTGTTGGGGTTCAGTCGATACCTTACAGATTCTTACGGATGATAGGGATAAAGAAAGGAACTTTAATGGTACTCCTTTCAACCAATGGGTGGGACTCCTTCTCATCGAAAAGATAAGATATCAATGTGAATGATTTAATAAATTATGAGCGGAGATGGAGACTAAGGGTTTGTGAAGACGTTGAATAGGGTAGTCGGCGTTAGTTGGCATTTAGAGGAGAGAGGAGAAGGCAGTTATATGGACATCCAAATGAATCGATGATAGAAGATCAAGAAGGTGGAAGAAACCAGATGTAGGACATGAATCAGAGAAGTAGGCGGTGGAAAAGCAATATGACATAAGAGGAGTGGTAGGTGAGGCGGTGGGAAAATACAAAAAGCACAAAATAATTGGACCAATGAAAAGCAAAAATTGTGCATAAGGGACTTAAAATTAATAGTATTATAAATATAAATTAATTTAATTTTATTATATTCATCATCAATGTTATTTCTTATATTTTTAACAAAAAGTATATAGTATGTTTATATTATTATTATTATTGTTGTAATTTATATTTTCTTTATTATTGTCAAAATTTGAGAAATGAGAGCATGTAGTTCTATATGTATGGAATTAATCCAAAATATAATCTTTATCAAATTATAAATAATTTATTATGATAGATGCTCTAATTACTACCTTCCAAACTTTCAAAAAGTCAAAAAAAAAAAGGTATAGGATCAACTTTGAGAAATGGGATCATGCAACTTATATGTACACAATTAATTCATAATATGCTCTTTATCAAATTATAAATAATTTACTATGATAAATGCCCTAATTACTACCATCTAAACTTTCAAAAAGTAAAAAATTTAGGGTCGTGTTAGTATAATATATGTTATTTCCTATTAATACAAGAAAACAAATGAAAATCTTGTCACTTGTCATGATAGTTCATTTAGAATATCTATCGACACTTATTTTGAAGAAGTTCCTATTGCTTGTCTTAAAGAAGCTCCTATTGATTGTCTTAACAAAGAAGATTACCAATTGAACAAATATTTATAGTTAAACCCTAACTAATCGAAGTTATCAATTCGATGGGAGTAAATTTTCTCTCCATGCACAAACATGCAAAAGACAACATTTGTTGCTCAAAGTGTGTTTTAATATCTTCATTTGCACATGACAATTTGAAGAATGGTGCATGTTATGGAACACGAATCTAAAAGCAATCATATGGTTGAGTCTCACTATATACCAAAAATATTAGAAGGTGGTCCAGTGTCATTGATCACTTGGAATCAAACACTTTAAAATGTACGTTGTCCCAGTTATGAATCCTACATAATTCAAACATGGCTGGTATGTTGTTCTAAAAGGACTCAAACATGTGGCATTCTTCTTTGAACTTCTTATTGACAACTATTTATGTTGGATAATGTTATTAAAAATCTATTACGGTAAAGTTTATAAGGAGATATAATCAATAATGTAGCTTATGAAAGCATTCAAAATGTATTAAACTTCATAGAGTTTAATGAATTATCACATCAACTTTCTACATTTTATATAAGTTTTTTTTTCTTATAACGCATTAAACTTTACAAAGTTCAACAGGATATTACAAAAACTAATTTATAGTATTTATTTAAGAAATACAAAAAAAAATTCAATGAAGAGTTCAATGACCACATAACTCTAAATCTAATGAACACCAATGTGGCATCTCACAATGATAGGGTTTCATCCTATTAAATACTAATTAGACTTGTCACCTTATTAAATTGTTTCATTGAACTCACCATTATGGATGTTATGAGTATATATAGAGGAAAGAAATGTAATGAATGGAATACCACACCAATAGGCATGAGAGTTATCTTATATAAATACTAGAAAAATGATACAGTATACACCCCTCAAGTATACAATAAATCTAATAGTTTACATAAATATAAGCTAGGCTAATATCCCCCGTCAAGCAAGAGGCGGTGACCCAAGGCGCAACATGCGACGAAACTGCTCAAACTGCGGTCGAGGAAGACTCTTGGTGAAGATGTCAGCGACTTGAAGCTTGGTAGGAACAAACATGGTGACCAATTTTCCGGATGTAACTAGCTCGCGAACAAAATGATAGTCAAGGTCAATGTGTTTAGCACGTTTGTGAGCGACTGGATTTTGAGTGAGAAATAATGCACTCTGATTATCACAAAGAAGTGTAGGACGACCGGTGGGCAAAGCATATAACTCTTGTAACAGATGACTAATCCAAATAATTTCAGCTGCCGTGTTTGCCATGGCTCGATATTCAGACTCACAACTGGAGGCGGAAACTGTGGGCTGTTTCTTAGTACTCCATGATACAAGATTACCCCCCAGGAATATCGAGTACCCATAAGTAGAGCGGCGAGTTTCAAGACACCGGGCCCAATCGGCATCAGAATAACCAACAATGGCAACAGACCGAGGGTGTGTGAAGGTGAGGCCAAACGATAGAGTACCCTTGACAGAGCGAATAAGGCGTTTAACCACCTGAAAATGAGCCTCGGTCGGAGCAGCAAGAAACTGGCTAAGTTGGTTAACTGCATAGGAAATGCCGGGGCGAGTAATGGTCAAATATTGCAGAGCGCCAACCAACGAGTGGAAGAGGGTGGGATCGGCAAAGGCAGGACCGTCACGAACCAAAACGGTATTGGCAGCAAGAGGAGTAGGCACCGGTTTGGCGTGAAGAAGACCAACACGTGAGACAATGTCATGAGCATACTTGGCCTGACACAGAAACAGGCCACTAGAATGATGTACAGCTTCGAGGCCAATAAAGTAATTTAGCCGCCCAAGATCTTTAATACGAAACTCAGCATGAAGACGAGAAATAAACGAGGATATGATAGCATCATCGGAGCCGGTGACAATCAAGTCATCAA